GTAGGAACGTGTTGTCTCTCTGCGGTGGAGGCTGGAAGTCCGAGATCAGGGCGCCTTCAGGGTTGGGTCTCTGGGAGGCTGTGACCTTCCCACGCCCATCCCTGAGCTGCTGGGGGTCTGCTGGCCGTCTGTGGGTGTCCTTGGCTTGCAGACACATTACCTGCTCTGCCGTCATGTTCACGGTGTTCTCCCTGTGTGCTGTGTCCAAATGTCCCCTTTATATAAGGACAGGTCTAATCAGGGGCCACCCTCTTCCAGCGTGGCCCCATCTTAACTATATCTGCAATGACTCTATTTCCAAATAATGTCACATTCTGAGGTGCTGGGGTTAGGGCTTCAATATAGGGGTGTGGGCAGGGAGTAGGGGGGGACACGGTTCAGCCCACAGAATTCCCCTTTCAGCTCTTCCTCTCAGTTTGACCGGAAAGCAGGAATCTGCCAGGTTAAAAAAGACAGTCTTTATCAGGGTACAAAGAACAGGACACACGTTTCAGCGAAGTGTTCAAGAAACCGCCGTGGTAGAAATAAACACAGCCCACCCAAACGAGGACAAGTGGAAGCTCAGTTTTCTGAGCTTGCTGTTGGGACGGAGTCAGGACCACCATTTCTGTTTGGCAGAGACTCCGAGGCAGCCGGGGGTGTGGGGAAGCTATCGGGTGGAGAAGGGGCGGGCTTCAGGGTGTCAGGTGGGCCCTGGCTGGAGGCTCTTGGCAAGCAGCCGCTGTGGGCAGGCACTAGGGAGTGGTTTAGGGTACGTAGTTGGCTTTCCCCGGTTGGCCTTGAGTTGGCAGTGGGCAGAGAAATTAATGAAGTGAGCTACACTGTCAGTTATTCACCAAATCCTGGCGCTGATTGCAGCGAGGTTGTAGTTGCGCTCTCTGGCCTGGTTGCCGCAGAAAGAGTAGTTTGACGTCCTAGACAAGTTGCCAGGGGTGGTGGGTTGGCCTCCCGAACTGGTTGCTACAGATTGTGGGTCGAAGTTGTATTTTTAGGTTTGGTCTGGCCTTTGTCCATTGGTATATTCAGTCTCTCATCATAGAATTAACTTGTTGAGTAGATCTGCCAGTTACTCGTTTCCACAAAGGTCTTAAATATGTATAATTTTAAACTTATAGAAATAATCATTGAAATTTTTTAAAATCTTGAAACCCCAAGTTTCCCCAGCAGCCTCCGCCCTTGACTTCAGAGCTCCGTTGCTTCACTGTGGTGATTTGTGCAGACCGCGTTCCTGGGTCTGCTCCGATCCATTAATTCTTCGAAAATGTACTGAGTTCTGCTGCATGCCAGATGCTGGTGGAAGGAACCAGAGGTTAAAGACACAGGCCCTGCCTTCAGAGGGATCAGTGAGCGAGACAGGCAGAAAGACACAACAGTCCGAAGTGCTCAGTTGTCACACGTAGAACTGGACAGGAAATTGGTAAGGACAGATTTTAATTGGTCATGTACTATGGAAACAGGAGGGACCTGTGTGAGCTGAACTCGACCGTGGTGTGTATAGCGAAGACTGGTTGTTTTACAAGAGCAGCAAAGGGGTGAGGTGGGGGCGGGAGGGGCTCAGGAGGGTCAGGGGAGTGAGAAGTCGTAGAGTCGGTCAGTGTGGGTGCTGAGCAGGCCAGCTGGGCCTGCTCGCTGGCTATCCGCGGAGCTGTGGTTTGCATCCCCCATGGGCACTGGGAAATGGAGGCCGTCTTCCTCACGACAGTTTAAAGGAGTGGCTTTCAGGTCCTGAGCTGCAGGATGGATGGATGGATGGATGGAGACAGACATCTCAAATGGACAGGGGAAGGATTCACACTTGTGAGCACTTCTGAGTTAATGCTTAAAGAGAGGGTGGTCAGGGTCCTATAGTCACATATTGATTAGAACAAATAGTAAGTGCTTTTTGGCAGCCTTGAGCTGATTCAGGCAGATTCAGGGGAGGCTGGGGTCATCCTAGAGTTATGGCCTTGAGTTGTTAGAAACTATGTCAGCATTTAAGTCTTTTAATGTATGGGGATGGGGTTCTCAGAATCATTTGTGTTGAGAGTCCATAGTTCTACAGGCCAGAGTTGAAAGCTGGCAGAAAAGTGGCTCAGAGGAGCCTGCCTAGAGTTTGCTCAGAGACAGAGTCTTTGTCACAGTGCTGTCCTGGAGGTGGGCACAGGCCACTGAGATGGGCACGCGTGCACATGTGTGTATATTTGTGTGTGTGTGTGTGTATCTGTCTGTCCAGGGAAGAGGGGACAGCTTGACTTGGAAGATCAAGCCCAGTAAACCAAATGAGTCCAATTGGGGGAGGTGGGTGGGTAAAACCAAGGGCAAGTCCAGGTTTATGGGGTCTAAAGTGCATACCATTAGAGGGTCTTCCTTTAAAATTACAGAATTAGGTAGAAGGCCCAGATGGGCGTGTTCGGGGCATGCAAGTAAGGGGACTCGCAGTTTAAGCTTCTCTTGGTTCACGGAAAATCATGGGAAGGCGTGTTCCAGGCTGCGTGAACAGTAGGAAGGAACACATGGGGGACAGAGTCGGCCTGGACTGTTTAGGGAACCGAACTAACTCAAATCTGGGTTTGCTAGCAGGATATACGAGACATAAAGCTAGAGAAATGCTGGGTATTGCATTATAGAAGGTCTTAGGGGCCATCCTAGTATAGAGATTGCTAGTATGCATTTTACTCTGTCCACTGTGAGGAGTCCCTGGGGGATTTTAGGTAGAGGAGTGACTTGACTTACACGTGTAATAAATAGAGAAGTCACGCTGGAAGGGAGTGTGAAGGATGGGCCGGAGCCCGTTGAGGCTGGTTGTAGACATCAGGGAGGACAGAGCACATCTGCCCGAATCATAGGTGTGAATCCATCCTCAGAGACCATGGAGTCACACCCGCGACTTCAAAATGGGTGCCAGGGTTCAGACACAGAGAGCTGTTCATCAAAAACGTTTCCAGATTGGTATTTCTCTAAGTTCAAAAAATATGCTTACATTTATTTTTGTAGAAAGGAGGCCCAAGCTAGCCTCAGACTTACTTTTGATTAATCTGGCGTGGTATGTTCCATTCTTTGGAGAAAATTCTATATTTGGGTTATTCGTCCTTTGGGATCGTGCACTTAAAAAGGAATAGATTTTAAAACGATGCTTTTTAAAATCAGGTAATTATGCCACAGCTTAGTGTTCATGATTCTATTTCTGCATCGGATATTTTGATGCAGAAATCTCTGGAACAGTGTCATGTACTATGAGGACTGCAGTGACTGCTAGAGGCCAAGTTTAAATGAAAAGTACATCTACCAGCTGACGGGTCCTGTGACTTTATGCCAGGAAGCTCTTAGACGCTGGGAAGTTGATACTTGGCTTTTTTTTTTTTTTACATTTATTGACAAATCTTTGCTTTGCTGGACTAGATTCCATGCTGAGAACAAATTCGAGACACAGCATCTGGGAAGCATAGCCCTTAAATTATCCATCTGTCTTATCCATCTGTCTGTCTTTATTCAAAGAAAAGAGCGATTGTTTAGATTCGGTCTGCTTTCCCCTTGGACAGATGAAAGCAAAGCAATTCACAGAAAACCTGCATTTCCATGTGACAGTGGCAGCATCTGCCCCAAATTCACTTCCATGAAGTCTAAGAGTTTAGCCCCGACTGGGTAGCTCAGTTGGTTAGAGTGTCGTTCTGAGATGCCAAGGTTGCAGGTTCGATCCTTGGTCAGGGCACGTATAAGAATCAACCAGTGAATGTGTAAATAAGTGGAACAACAAATCAATGTTTCTCTCTCCCTCTCTCAAAAAAAAAAAAAAAAAAAAAAATATATATACACGTTGCCCCAGACTGGGGGAGATCTCAGACACCAACTGGTGCTCTGACTCTCCACTTTTTAAAGCAGCAGATTCAGTCTTCCCGCCAGAGCCTGATACATGAGGGGGGTCAGAGCCCCGGACGGGCCTCCTGCTCGCCCCTCGGCGCAGGGCCTCCGACAGCCCCGCCGGTTTGTAACCACTGCTTGGGCCCAGTCTTACGTTTTTCACCGAGAGGACTGATGCTCAGCAAGGCAGTGGCGTGTTTCTGTTCTCATTGGCCAGAAATAGACCTTAATTTGCCTCTTTCTTATGCTTTTTGGAGTTAGTGTTCTTCCTGCTATGTCACACTGTTTTGTTTAAAAAATGTTGCCAGATAGGAAATCAAAAGCATGCTCATCGCCAAATCTTCTGACCGCTAAGGAATTAAGCAACTGCATATTGTGGAAACTCCTTGAACCCCTAAAAAAGTGGGATGCAGACTCACGTCTATGCCCCCAGCACACACCAGGCATCATGCCGACACTTCTGTTCACCCGGTTACTTAACACTCAGGCACGATCAATCCGCCCACCTTACTGATTTGACAATGGAGATTCTGACGCGGGCTGTCTCTCCAGAGTGAGCCAGGAGATCCCCTTAGTTCCCATTGTCAGGGAAATTCATTTCAAATTTCTGCCAGAGCGACAGGCAGCTCTGTGAGTCATCTGCCATCTTTGCAGCACGTGTCTTCCTGGTTCAGAGGCCGCCTGCGTTTTAGTATTTTGATTAGAGTCGATCCGATCCAAGTACGCGGTTCCCAACCAAGGGCTGGTATTGCTTCGCAAAGAAAAAGGCATGTGGTCCTTTCCTCCTCCTGATGAGCCCCGCTCCCCACTCCAGCCCCACTGGCGCAGTTCCTGGTGTGCCATGTCCTGGTGCTGAGTCCCTGAGAGAACAGGAATCAAACCAACCAGCTTCTTTGGAAGTTCGGTTATTTTAACCATTTATAGAAAAACGGAGGTTCTGAATGCAGAATGATGGTCCTAAGTTCATCGGGGGCAGGGCCTCATGTGTTCACTTGTTCACCGGTTGCACATTGTGAGGAGCTCCCTGTGCCCCCGAAGTTTCCGTTCACTGATTGTGGAAAGAAGTCTGTTCATGATGGCTGCACCTCCGGGCAGAGCAGCTGAGAGCTCCAGCTCCGAGTGCCCCAGGCAGAGCAAGCCTATGTGTTGGACGTGGGGCAGTGGCCTTCATTCTGGAGGTGGGGCCGCGGTGGGGTGGGGGTGGGGCGGAGCTGGAGAGCTGCAGGGCCGTGGAACATACCCAGCGGTGGAGCCGGCCCTGCGCGTCTGTGCTGGGAGTTGGGTGGTTGGACGCATGTGCAGGGCTTGGTGCCAGGCTGTGGGGCAGTTGCCCCAGGGGAGTGGCGAGCTGGGGAGGAAGATCTTGAAGGCAGGATGAAAGGAAATATCCTGCAATAACACGGGGACGATGTAGTGAGGGCCGGAACCAGGCCGCGGGCAGGGAGGATGGCCCAGGACAGCCACGGAAGGTGTAGTTGAGGAAAGAACAGAGCCAGAGAAGCATCGGACATGGGAGTGAGGACAGTGGGCATGTCGAAGGTGATCCTTTTATTTTGAAATGACAGTGATGCCCTTGACTGAAAGGAGGGACAGATAGATGACAGCAGCCTGGGTTCGGTGAGAAGGTTACAAGTTTTATTTCAATCGTGTCGACTAAAAGACCAGGTCTCAGGGGTTCCTGTGAGGCCCCCTTGGAGCCCAGAGGGAGGTGATGGTTAAAACGGAAGCCACTCCCACAGCGACTCTTGAGAAAGGAGATGATTGGGGCTCAGATGAGCCCACGTCCCTTTAGAAATTTAGCAGCACTGGCCTTTCCTTGTACGGGGTACCCTTTCTTCCTTTGTGAAAGTAACTGATGTTTAAAGGTGAAAATGACGTTACCAGAGACCTCATTGGTGCTATTCTGTGCCTGCTGTTAGCCGTGGTGGGGTGGGGGTTGGCCTTCTTGCGGCTGATTCTGCAGCTCATGCCGGCAAGTCCTTGGGCTCCTCTGGAGTGAGCTTCATCAGTTTGTCCACGCAGAGCAGGATGAGGGTGAGGAACCAGAGACTCCAGCCAACGGCGGCCGCGATCCAGCCGTACTCATCCACGCCAATGTGGCAACAGCGGGAGGCTTGCTGGCAGAAGTCCACGTCTGGGGGACAATAATAATAATAATAATATCATAGTTTAGCTTTACTAAGGCACGTCCTGTGCTATGCTAAATGCCCTACACATGCTACCTTATTTGTGCCTTGCAAAGTGATAGGTACAGTTACGATTCCCATTTTACGTGAAGGATCTGAGGCTGTCACTTGCCCAGGATCACGGGACGGCAGAACTAGGACCCAAATCCCAGGGTGCAGGACTCCAAAGCCATGTTCTTAACCTCTACACATTCTGGCCTGCTATTCTGCTCCCTAAGTGAACACATTCGGTCATTCAGTGAGGACAGAATAAAGGAAGCCAGACGCAGTACGCAGCAAAACTTGCTGTCGATTAGACACGTGTAATAGTGGTTGCTGTATGAAGTGCCAGCCCCCTCATGGGTGGAAGTGTTCAAGTAGAGGAAGAACAGAAACATGCAAAAGGAAGGACAGTAAAGCTCCGGCCTTGGGCAGAAAGGGGACTAGCTGGGTTTTGTGGTCTTCCCACTGTTGAACTTCTGCAAGCCTTTGAGCTAAGGGCAACTTAGCATCTGTCACGGGGATGGGTCTTTAAAGCCATCTGCACCAAAGGTGGTGGGCCTCCATGTTGGCCAAGGTCAAGACGGCTTTTTAGACGTACTCCGTGAGCAGTTCTGGAGGCGGGAGCAAACCACACCAGCGCACGGGAAGGCCAGGCCGGCGCTCAGCCACCCCATGTGGTGTGAACAGAGTTGGGGAACAGTTTCCCGCCCAGCCCCGGGCCAGCTCTGCAGGGAGGTCCCTCGGCAGGAGCTTACTGTGGCACTGCTCCAGAGTCTCGGCATCCGGGTGGTGGTCGGCCAAGCTGGAGCTGTTGCCACTGCTTGCTTCTGGAAGAAAAGACAGAGAAAAGTCTCAGGTAGTAGGAAAAGCCCTTCCCAGGCATGGAGTTTGGAATCTTTTTTTTGTAAATCAGTAGTGAGTATTGTGAAAGTATTATAGACGTTCCAGTCTGGGCTTCACGAAGCAAAGCTCACCCCCTGTTATAGACGGAATTGTGTCCCTGCCCCCAGCATTCAGATGTTGAAGTCCTAACCCTCCCAGTAACGACTGTGTGCAGAAAACAATTTTTAAAGAGGGAATTATAAAGTGAGATGGGGCCATATGTGCCAGCCCCGGTCCAATATGACTGGCGTCCTTCTCAGACAAGGAAGACACCAGGGACGCACTGGCAGAGGAAAAACCACGTGAGGACGCAGGGAGAAGGTGGCCACCCGCAACTCCAGGAGAGAGGCTGCAGGAGAGACCAGCCCTGCTCTCAACTGAGCCTCCGGAACTGGGAGGAAATGGATCCCCTGCTGCTCGGGCCACCCAGGGAGTGGTGGTCTGTTCTGGCGGCCTGAGCAGACTCTGTGCTCCCTTTTCCTAGCATGGTCTGTTCCCATGCAGAGATGCTTTGTCTCCTCTCGGCATTGACCTTCAGTTACCGAGGGCCTGCTATGTGCAGCTTTCCAAACACTATTTTAGCTGCCTTCTGTGCAGATAGATGAATACACACAGAAAATGGATTTCCTAGTATATAGGAACACAGTCATTTAAAAGTCTGGAATGCCTTTTCAGAACTATCTTCAGTTCCCTTCAAAACCTTGAACAAGTAGACATTGGAATCTGACCTTGATTCTTCATTACTGACAAAGATAAATGGTTTACTCAGGAAGATGGTTATTAAAAAAAATGACCATACGAGGAAGTCTAGAGGTTGATAGAATATGCAGCACTTAGAATGTCCCTTCTAAATGGTTTTTTGGGGAAAAAAAATACAATGAAGATTAAATCCAGAAAAAGAAAAAAGAATGTCCTGTGATCAAGAATCACGGAACGCAGTGATCAAGGAAACATCAGCAGTAGTTCTGAAGGCTGTGCCAGTGTTTGGGAGACAAGATGGGTACAGGACGAAAAGGAATAAAAGCCAGGGCTCACCGCCCCCCCAACAGAGCAAGAGGAGAGATGACCCACATCCGCTCTGCTTCATAGGACGGCCGCTGGTGGCTAAGTTCATTCTAATAATTAAATTAAAAATCCAGTTTCTCAGTCAGATTAGCTCCATTTCTAGCGCTCAGTCACCGTGTGTGGCTGGTGATTGCTGCACTAGAAGCTCAGCACAGAGATGCAGGATTTCCATTATTAGCAAACAATCCTGTTAGTGCTAATCCAGGTAGAACACGTGACCTCCTTTCCGTCAGTCCCCCCTCCCCCTCCCCTCTTCCAGTAGTCTAGGTGGATGAAGACCAAGAGACCAATGTTGAAGACCCTTTCTGGAACCTGTATTGTGGTTCGAGCTTCTTAGAAATGCCAAAAAAGAAGTGGGTTTGGAAATTCTCAAGGCTCCGTTTACTCCAGGTCAGCGTGTCCTTCAAAGGAGCTTGGTGTCACGGAGCAGGACGAGTCAGGAGGAAACTGCTTTCAACAGCCAAAGCCACAGAATTGCTGCTCAGACTGATTGCAGGCCCCCCACCCCGAGGTACTTCAGTGTGCGGCCGAAAGTGTGATCATTACCTCGATGTAATCTGATGTGACTGTAAATTATTTACAGCTAAATGGCTTAGAGCTGGGTCTTTGTTTGTTTTGGAGAAATGGATTCCTCAACATTTTAATGGCCCTTCTAACCTACGTTACTTCTCTTGGCCCTGACTTTCACCTCCCCTCTCCCCCGGAATGGAACTGGTTCCCGTCTAGAGCAAGTGAGTGGAAAAAACCTAGTCAGTCTGATGCTAGCATTTGGTGAAATTCAGCAATTTCATATAGTTCAAACTGATTCGCCTAGTTAGAAGTTCCTCAGAATTTAAATATCGCCCCCCCCTAAGCAGAGCCAGCCGGGGACCGATCCTGTTTGGGGTCACTTCCAAAGTAAACACTGCTAGGAAGACCCAACTATTCAGTTACACTTGTAATGATGTTGATTTTTTAAAATTTGTCAAGATTTTTTTGAGGCTGTATCCTCCTGAGCAAGGCACTGGAAGGAGTTACACTGGAAGGAGTTACAGTGGAAGGAGTTATACTGGACAAATGAATATGCTAACATTTATCAAGTGATTACCGTGATCTCATTTATTCAGAGGGATTTATCTGCAGTCATCGTATTTCAACAGCCTTATGTACAAGCACGAGATTATCCCCATGTTATAAGTAAGGAAACCCAGGCACAGAAAGGGTCAGGAATTTGCTCAAGGCCACGCAGCCAGGAGGTGGTGTGAGCCAGCGCGGAGCCTCCCTGGCTTTGAGAGCTCGTGCTCTTTGAACCCCCGCAGTAGCAGAGACGGAGTCAGGGAGCAGGGCAGACCGTGTTCTCAGGGGAGCTGAGGAGCAAGACCAAAGCCAGAGTCAGGAGCATGGGAGGGTAAGGGAGGTCTCTCTGCCTGAGGTTCAGAGTCCAGCCTGGGAGAGCCTGATGGGGTGGCCTCAACGCCTCCAGCCTGCACAAGGCAATAACCCCACACCTCCCATGTCCCGGGGGGACAGGAGAATGATGGACAGTGTGTGGCAGCTTTCATGCATTAAGGTTTTGTGAGAGTTGCAAAGAAAGCACAGGGTTCAAGGGGGGGTCAGAGGGCCCGAGGGGAGGGGAGGGGGTTCAGGGGGAGCGTTGCAGAGCTCAGCAGTTGGAGCACCACTGAGAAACAGCACCCAAAAGTTGTCATTTTAGGCTGATTCGGTCCCCTGATGGGAGAGGCTCTGTACATTGCTCCTCTTTCTTGGTGGCAAAGGACAACAGGAGTAAAGATGAGACACCCCCCACCCCACTCACCCCCTGCCTAATCCTTCAGATGAGAAAGGATCGTTTCCTCTCTGTGCAGACCAACCCTAGCCAAGGAATCCTCCTCCTTCCCTTCCCCCGCCCCCCTCCCTTCTCCTTCCCTTCGTGGCCAAGAATAAAGCTCACAGTTCCACCTGCCAAGCAAGCCGAGTGGAAGGAGACGAGGACCAGGCTGAGGACCAGGGCGGCGGGGGGCGCAGAGGTGAGGTGCTCCGTGCTGGAGAGGGAGGCTTGTGTCTGCACCATCTCCGTGGAGGTGTGCTGAGTGCCGGGCGCCACGTGCCTGCCTGTGTCCTGTCCCGCAGGAGCTGGAAACCAACCTGGCAGACGGAGGTGAATTTCTCCTCTGTTTTGGGGAAAAGGGAGGGGGTGGAGCAAAGGAAGGTCGGCTGTCACTCCTTGTTCTTACCCCTTGAGAAGGAAAGCCAAACTCCGTTGGCTGGGGGCGGGAAGGGAGGGGCGATGTATGCAGCTCTTCCCTGAGCTCACCTTTTGCAGAACGGAGAAAAAAGAGGAGGAGAGGAGGTGTGTGCTCTGTGAGCGTGAGTCTGCAGCCGTGTGTGGGTGTGGTGCTGGATCCCCTATCCCGTGTAGCCCGTATTTACTGTGCACTTACTATGTGCTGTGAACGAAAGTCTGGGAGTCGCTGCCCTCAAAACACTCTCGTTACAAACACACCATTCAAACACAGAGCTCTGTTCCAGGGATGACTTGGGAAGGACAAAATGTGCTCCATCTCAGCAGCAAGAGGCCACGTCGTGGGTGGGATGCTTCAAGAAGAAGGTGCTGTTTGAGTTGGGTCTTGAGGATGGGTAGAGTTCTGACGAGCAGAGAAGAGAAGATGGCGTTGTAGGCAGAGGGACAGGGGAGTGAGGGCCCAGAGGAGAGAGATGCTCAGGAGCCCACTGTGCCGGGGTAGGTGTGAGCCTCTGAGCACGAGGAGGTGGGGAGGTAAATGGAGAGGTTGAGCATCTGGGGCACCGGGCTGGGGAGTTTGAACCGATCTGGGGGCCGGTGGGAGGCTCTGCAAAGGTTGGGGACGGAGGGGAAGCTTGATTGGAGCTTTGCCTTCAGTCTAAAGCGTTTCCTGGATATCCGCTGGGGGTGTGAAGGGTCAGACCCTGGGCATCTGGGACTCAAAGACGGCCACAACACGGTCGCTGCCTCCCCTAGTCACAGTCCAGCAGTGACCGAGCAGTGCAGTGACCGAGCAGTGACGAGAGAATAGAGATGTCATGTGGGTGTCGCCCACAGGGGGTAGTGAACAGGGAGGCGCTAAATCTGCCTGAGCCCCCACCTCAGGGAAGCACTCACCACAGAACAAGGGGCATCCCCCGGGTGCCCTAGAGCAGCCCCTTTTTTCTAATTTGCCTAAAGCTACAAACCAGTGGTGGCCCTGTAATCCTGGGCTTGGGGGCTGGGGGCAGAAGTGCCACAGGGAGGCTTGTTTCCTGGCAGTGAACAGAAGTCCAGTTTGGACCTACCGCTTGGGTGAACATTCAGGAATTACTGAGCAGCTGCTGTGTGCCGGGCCCTTGGGGTGGGGAACGGGGGTCCCGGGTGGGTAAGGCCACACAGTCCCTGTCCTCCAGTGGCTGGGTCCAGTAAGACATGTGGACAAATGAATAAGGACGCAAATAATAAGCCACAAGGAGGTCTCATCAAGTGGGAGATTCATGGATGAGGGTTGGAGACTAGGGGACTTGGAGACTGTTTGAAAGTGGAGATGGCATTTCGACCTGAAATGTGAGATGTGTCATGTACCAGGCGGGGCCTGAACATGTGACCCTGGGGTGGGTAGTAATGACCGTCCTGGGAGCAGGGGGTTGGCCGCTGTGTGTCTGGTTAGACCAGGCAGATTGTCATGTTCCTGCCTGGTGGACAGAGGAGACCAGACTCTGTCTGTGGTTGGGACACCCTATGTGGATTTTGTGGACACCTTTATATTTCAGGGGCTCAGAGGATAGATTCACGGGGGCCAGGCCTAGAATCAGAGGGATCTAAGAAGCTATTGCAAAAATCCCAGCAGACCAAAAGGGCACTGGAATAAGGGGAACGACTGAGGATAAAGAGGAGCAGAATTGTGAGGCATGTAGGAGACCAAAGCAATACAAGGGAATCTGGGAAAAGGCCTTTGGGACGCAGGCGGGGGTTTCTGCTGCGGGGCAGCGGCGGCCACAAGGCCAGCAGAGGTGGGATTCCAGCCCTGTCTCTGTGGCCCGAGGAAGCGACTTTATACATCTAAGCCTCGGGGCTTTATCTGAAAAGTAATAGAACAGAAGCAATCTTGGGAGTCAAAAGCTTTGCACAGTGGTGGCCGGTGGTAAGCGCTCGGTAGATGTTAACTCCCACTTTCACAGAATGGTCATCACAAATAAAAAATAGGGGAGAAAGGTCCTTTTAGGGGGAAATGACGCTGTTTATGGATTGATTTGTTTATATTCTGTCTTGTCCAGAAAAGGGTTTAAGGAACCGTACGTATCGTGAATGAAGCTATGTCAAATACACTTAAATGAGAAGAAATGAAGCAGAGAGAAAGTTAGGGCAGGAAGTAGGAGGACCCACGAGCGAGTGTGGGACACAAAAAGGCGTGCCTGCTTTCTGAGCCTTCTGGTAGCCAGTGTGAAGGGGGGGGGGCGGTCACACAGTCACGCCTGTGGCTCGCGGGCTCACAGGACAAAAGCAACAGAAGCAGCACACTGCTCTTGGTACCAAAACCAGAGAGGAATCTTCCCCATGGGTCCCCATGGAGATGGCATTACCTAACAGGATGAACGTGGTTCTTGACATTTTCCTCCCAGTAAACCCTCGTGGGAAGCTTCACAGACCAGGGCTGATTTATCCAGCAGGCGCCAGAGATCACAGCAGTGCCCGGGGTCTCCGAGGATGTTCAGGGGTCTCAAAGATGTTCAAGACCTGAAAGCAATGTTCTCAGATCCGCAATAGGAACAATGATGAAACTGTGTCATCAAAAGGACTAGTTTTTTCCAAATCAAGGCCCTCCAGTTCATTTCAACAGAAACAATGAGATGCAGGCTGTCAGGTGTGTTTGAGCGTGTTTGCAGTGAGCAGAGCACGCCCGCCCCTCTGCGTGATCCGTGACGGCCTGGGGCACACACAGGTTTGAAACAGCATCTGCCTCTCTGACAGCATCGATTCAGATCCTGCCAGTGAGGAAACTCCCAGACCCGTGGATGCAGGGGGCAAAGATAACGATCTGTCTCCTTTTTAATGCATTGTTACTTGATGTGGGACTGTTTTCGGTACAGTGTTTGCAAGTCAGTGCAAAACTACAGAAGCATGCCCTCCACAGATCAAAGATTTTGCTGTCCCAAAACAGGGGGGGGACTTGACCGGTCTCTCATAACTCATGGACTCCCAGAGAAGGGGCTATAGGGTGGCTCTTTTTACAAGTGTCAGCATTATTCACTATTTTACTTTTAAAAAACAGGTCCACGTAGCTGGTTACCTCACCAAGGAACTCTCAATACGTTTTATAGCAGGTTTGCTTTGGAAGGTGTACCAGGAAGTTGCCCTGCTCAAACCCACACAGTCTGCAGGAACTTTCTCAAGACTTTTTTTTTTTTTTTAATGGTTGAGACAGGTGTTTGGTTACACATACTTTTAAAAAGTCCAGGCTAAAGTGTCTGTGGCCGGGCTCCTTGGAGGTGGCTGGGGTTGGCCAAGAGCATGGGGTCCCAGGGACCTCACTGCCGCCAGTTTTAACTGTTTTGCCTGCTACGATTTCATTTGAAAAAGAAGAGGAGCAGGCAGAGTGTTTCCTGGACTGAAAGATTGAAAACCAGTAATCTGTGGCCTGGAATGGCCTCTGACTCTGGGAAAGCTCTTTCATTTCTTCTTTCTTTTCTCTTTCTTAAGATTTTATTTATTTTTAGAGAGAGAGGGGAAGGGAGAGAGAGAAACATGGATGTGTGAGAGAGACATCTATCAGTTGCCTCTCATGCACTCCCAACTGGGGACCTGGCCTGCAACCCAGGTATGTGTCCTGACTGGGAGTTGAACCAGTGACCTTTTGGTTTGTAGGCCGGTGCTCAATCCACTGAGCCACACCAGCCAGCATGGAAAGATTATTTCATGTTGAGAAAACTTCCCTTGTGATTCTTACAGGCCCTTCTACTGCCTCTCCATCTCTGGGAAGAGACTGTTGGCCTTGAACTTGGGGCTTGCTTTTCCAGTTAAGCCACTGAGAGGAGAATCGTGGCCCTAACCACACAGTGCCTGTCATTTCCTAACTTTTGAGCTGAGGTGAGATCCGTGGCTCCTCTTGCATGTGGCTTGTATTTCACAAAATAATGTTAGTTTCTAGCAACTCACGAGACCAAAACATCTAGACCTTTACCTGAGCAGCAGTTGGTTGGTGGAGGAGGTTAACCTCATTCACTGCCACTCAGTTACGGGTCTATAATTTGGAGAGAATGAGGAGTATCCATGTGAGAAAAATGGAGAGCTACACAGGGTTGAACTCTGAGATGGTGCCGCAGAGTTGAGATAAGTAAAGTGGACAAGCACGCAGCCCACCCCTCGGGACCATTTCTGAACCGTTCCCAGGGTGATTCATTCAGCTTGCACTTAATCCACTATTGCACTAGGGGGCGCTGGGGCCACTGCCCGGATTGAGGTGGGTGAACAAGAAGAATGGGACTTCCTCCTGGCTGAGGCCATTTTCCTCTTGGGCCCTAAATCTCATCCCCTGGCATCTTCTCCCAGGTGTACTTCTTAATTTCCAAACACGGAAGTTTTCTAGCTATTGTTGTTACTGATTTCTAGCTTAACTGCATTGCCATCTGCAAAGATGTTTTGATGATCCTATTTTTTTTTTGATATTAAGAACAAACATATGGCCAATTTTTGAAAATTGGCACTTGAAAAAAATGTGTCATCCACTTCTGGGAGTCAGTATTCTATGTCAGATAAGGGTGCAGAGCTATCTATATTTTTCCTGTTTTTTTTTTTTAATTGGTCCATTTAGTCTATTGAATAAAGACAGATGACTGGATTTTTCTCCTTCCCTTGTAGTTTTTTCTGTTTTTGCATTCCACATTTGAGGTTGTAATTAGGCCTTATTCAAACATAGAGTTATGACGCCTTTGTGGTGTACCCAACCTTCTTTAAAAAATTGTTTTGTAATATCCCCCTGAGCTGTTGGTTTATCATAAGAAATGCATATTTGGTCTTTGTCCAGTTTCTGGTGCAGAGCTCCTAAAACCCTCAGAATTTTCTAAGCCTTGCTGACAG